CTTAAACCAAAATCTCTAAGGCAAGTTACAAAGGATAGGAGTGCCTAAGGACGGAGATGAGAGGACACTAAAGATCTCACTGAGTAAAGATCAGCCCCATGATTGCTGCCTTCCTGGCTTTGTGCCCCAAATCCTAGTGGCAACTTCTGAAAAACTGTTTATTGGCATCAAGGAAAACTATTGTCAGGGAAAGTTGATAATTAGGGTTAATAAAGAAAATGAACCATGTCTAAGCCATGACTGAAAATAGCTCTCTGCTTTCCTGCCCCCTCCCCCTTTCAGGACAGAGGTTATGTGAGGTGGATCTGGGATGCTGAGTAGATTTGGGGAGGGTGATCTATGTGTGTGTGATTTTGTCACATCTTCCAATCTGCAAGAATTCTTCCCACCTCCATCACTCCACCAATCAATAAATCCTTTGTCATGCCGAGGTGTGGCATGTCTTCTGCTGAAAACCTCAGATTCAGATGCAACACACTGAGACACATACACACACACACACACACACACACACACACACACACACAGTCACCCTCACAAAACAAGTTCCATTCAAATTGGTTTAAAAATAGCACTAATACATCTGAGCTCATTTTTTAGGGACATTATTTTAAGAAGAAAAAAGATCCCATGGTCTTTGAGAAGTGGAAAAGGATAAACCGTCATCTAGTCTTAAAAAGTTCTGATAATGTCACTAGAGTATTTGCAGTCTTTGTTGAATTTTCTCCTCTATCATTCAACAAAAGTTGTTTATTTGCTAAATACCCTGCCATCTGGGTATTTATAGAGGTGGTTTTCCTTTTAAGGTGGTGAGGAGAGAGGGAAAAGCTGCAGCAGTAAGCCCTGTCCCCTGTCCCTGGCCTGTGCCCAGCCCCTTCCACTGACTCCCTGGAGGCAGGTGGATTTATGAATCAATTACCCCTCCCCCCACCCCAGAGGGCAGCCCCTGAACGCTGCTGGCCATTTGCAAAGGGGTGTGTGTGTGTGTTTAATTGCAGGTTTATTTGTTCCTGCTTTGAGAGTCTGTCTGTCTGTAACTTGGATTAATACTCCCCTGGAAGCTGTAGCTGGCTGATTCCGTGGGAGACCAAGCAGGATGCGTGGGCCCAGGAAACAGAAGAGGGAAGAGGAGGGAGGGAGAAAAAGGGAGCAGGGAAGAGAGCGCGAGCCGTAGAATCTGTTATTTGCGTCACTAGAGGAGTCGGGGCTATCAGTCCGCCAAACACAGAATTAATCCGAGTTATAGCCATAGCTGTCTCTGCTACAGTGGCCAGTTGTGAAAGGGCGGGGAAAGGACGCTCGAGCAAATCTCTGCGAGCCTAGTGTGCACTGGGAGGCGGAGGGCGTTTGGGAAGGGGGCTGTCCTGTTAGGCACGCCCTCGGCACCTGCCCAGCCCAAGCCTGGGGTGGCAACCGCCTCGGCTGCCTCGCCAGCTTAGTGGCTGCGCTGAATACAAAGCGCTGTCTCCGAGCAGAAGCCTTTTCCCAGCTGAACCAGACCCACCAAAGAGGAGAATCTGCACGTGACGTCAGTAGCTGATGACTGACGCAGGCTGGCAAAGGAGACTCAAGGCGGCTGCTCTGCGCTGCCTTCATGAGTCTATTTTCTCCAGCCCCCTCGTAGTGAAATTACTAGAACGCAAAACACACACATATGAAGCTTTCAAAATATACATTTCCAAAGGCGGTGTGTTGCAAACAGCGCGATTCTGCAAAGCATGGGTGGGAAACGTGGGAAGGGTATAGATTTTTTTCCTCCTTCATTTGGGAATCTCCATCGTGGATAGCATTAGGCTCGAGCTTTCTTGGGCAGCTCCTCTGGAAAAGGGGCCTAAGCACTCCCCTCTGCCCCAGCATGTAGAGAATCTGGTTAATGGAGACTTGCAGCTCCGAAAGAATGCAACCATTCCAGTCTTCCACTCAGGGAGGCTGCGAGGAGCTTGCAACAGGCAGAGGCAGACAGGAGTTAATGGGAGGGAGGAAGAATATAAGAAATATTTGGGTATTTTTATGCTTTGAAAAACATCATCTGCAGTAATGCAAGTGAGTCTGGTGGTGCAGAAAAAAGTGGGGAGGGGGCGCTTAATGCACATTTAATGTTTTGGACGTAACATTCCAGTGAAATGCCTTTGTGTGTGCAGGTTTTTTCAGTACTTGCTAAAAATAGCATCAGGGTTTGATCGTGTTCCAGAAATAGACCGAGGGCTGCACTGGGATAAAAAGCCAGCGCGGGTGGAAGAAAACCTGGACATCACCGCATCCCCCCCCCTCCCCACTATGTCTGGAAATTAATTGTTGGATTTTTCCTCTCTTCTCTTGTCTCCCTCTCTCTTTCCACTTTCTCTTCCCTCCCCCTATGTTTCTCTTTCTCTCTCTTAAGGAGTTCCCATTTGGGTAAGTAATATTATGTCATGTGCATGCCGCAGACTGTGAGTATGAACTGAGGCTTACTTTGTGCATGCTCTGATGTTCTTTTTGGCTGCCTTTTTACCCCTTTCTAAAGAGGAGGTGGAACTGAGTAGGGGGTGAGGGGGTATACCTGTGTGTTTGCATAATGAATTTGGGGCTGCATGCAAAGAAACTGAAAGGGGAAATTCTTGCATAGCCGGGAATCACCCAGATGAATCTCTGAATCAATAGCTGCTGCAACTCCCTTTCTCTTTATGGGTCGGCGCTGTTGAGTCCGGTTCTCCCGACTGCCCCCCTCCCCTTCCCATTTTATCTGTCTTAAAGGGTGCCCAGATACCATTTAATGGGCCATCTCTCTGCTAGATTAATGGAGACGATGCGATAAAGATTAAAATTGCATGGATAGGGCTGGGAGGTAAAGGGGGCGGGGGAAATCCCTATTTCCTTGACAAACTTCCCTGTGCGCTCCGCTCCGGGAGCCAGAGGCTCACGACCCTGGTCCCCGCTGGCCCAGGGCGCGGTAGCTGTCCATGGACAGCAGGTGCTGAAAATTCCGTGGTTCTCAGCGAGTTCAGCTCCGAGCGCCAGGGGGCGGAGTTGGCGCCAACTGCGGATAGCCCCGCCCTGGATGCAGAAGGAGGATACGGAGAGGAGGGGGTTAAGGATGTTCAAAGGGGATAGTCGTGACTTCGGTGAGAGCTTTGGGGAATGGGGGGGGGGGGTGAGTGGGAAGGGAAGGAAAAAATATTAAGGAGGGAGAGCAAAGAGTTAGATTCGAAGATGAGCCAAGGCCCAGAGCTTCAGGAACCGAGAGCCGATGCCTCACTGGGTTTCTCCGCAGAGGCCAGACACTATCTGGGTCTCCATTCCCAGGCTCCTGCATCTTCCCGCCAGTGGGTTTGAAAAATTTCTCTCCGATGATTGTGACTCTCAAAATAAGAGGCTATAGGTTGCTTTATTCGGACTCTCGTCCCCTCCCACTTCATGCCCCCCACGCTCCCACATTCTGCAATTCTTGTGAGGCGTGTAAGGATGTGTCTGTGCATTATGGCCTTTTTCTTACTATTCCCCCTTCGCGTCCTAGTCATAGGATCCCCAAATGAGTTGGTGGAATGAATTAGAAGCCAAGGAACAGGAGTTGCTGGTGCGATGCGCAGAGAATTCAGGCTTGGGAACATCGCACGGCTCCTTAAAAACCAAAAGCCAAAGCGTTTCTGAGAACCAGCTCTGAGAGAAACTGGGATGGGGAGTGTTCTTCTTCTAGTTGACAAATGTTATTGAGGAGACCATCAACTCCCTGGGATTATAGGCTCAACCTAGAGTGAGATTCATTGCAATCAGCTCCAGACACTTTGGCCAAACCTGTAGCCAGACAGGTGAGGAGGGAGGAAGGTTATTAGAGGCCAGAGGAGGTTTAAATATCACGTGCACATAAAGACATGTTAACTCCTCGTAGAGGAATAATAAAAATCCATCCTCAAACTGACCCACAAGGTTGGGCTGTAAATGGTGGGGGAAATGAAGCAACTTGCCGATCTGCAGTAAGCTTAGGTGCACGCAGGGATGTTTTCTTTGTAATTAAAAACAAAACAAAACAAAACAAAAACAAAAAAACGGGATGGTGAGATAAGTATCTGAGGGGGCCAGACTTCAGGCGAGAAAAAAGAACCCAGGTACTTTATGCTCCCTCTGCCCCATCCTAATTCAGCAACAGCCTCTGGCTTTAGTGACCTGACCCCAAGGCAGGACAGCTAAGACACAGCCCTTGGGGGTGGGGAGGAGGGAAGAGGGAGGGTCAAAATATTTTTAGCTCAGAAGCAGTCCTTCTCTGGGAAGATTCCCCTGGCTAAGACTGAGTATTCCTCAACTCATAATAGTAACGGGCTGTTACTGATGTAGAGAATAACACAAATAACGCTGCATCCCACACTTTGTCTTGACAATTCAGCTCAAACCAAAGCTGCTCGCGCCTCTCGGCCCACCCCTCGGCCTTCTCGTCATTCATCCGGACCTACTCCTTCCCTTCCCAAGCCTCACCCCTCTCAGCCTCGCAGATTGCTCGGTTGTGTTTACAAATTTTGCCACATTTGCACAGCAAATAGCTGAGGTTGGGGTAGGGGGAGCGTCGGGCCAGGAGGGATGGTAGCACAATAAAGTACTTGCAACACGTGGAACGCGGGGGGGGGGGTCCAAGAGTCATGAGGGGGTGAGAGGAGAACGCCCCATGACCTCGTTTTCCCCCGTTCCCCCTCCCCCATCGCTTGACACAATGCACAAGTTTACCCCTGAACTAGAACCTATTAAATAATTCAATGGTAGCGGTGTAATTTTGGTTGGAACCAGCACGGATTCCCAAGTCGTGACTGCAAAAAGTGAGTAATGCGCGCTGGCTGCGTCATGGCTCTAGTCACAGTTCATTCCGAACTGAGAAGGAATCGTGACTTCGCCTGGAGACGTCCCCTACATGGGAGACGGGGGGAGGGGGGGCACCAAACGGGGGAGGGGGGGTTGGGGGGAAAGACCTATCCAATGAAAACCGTTGCCAGAGGTGCATTTGAACTCCGCCGCTCGCTGCCTCGCTCTCCCCTAGCTGCCGGGTGCACCTCTCTCCCCCACCCGGCCCGCGCGCTTGCTGGCGCGCACGCTCGTTCAGCCTGCGACCCGACGAGTCCTCAACAAGTTGGAGGAAGGCAGTAACGCAAGGGTTAAACTCGGAAAGCCGCAATTACCAAGATCGTGACCCTCCCACACAGTACAGTAACTTATATACTCACCTGGAAGCGCCCGCTTTGCCGCTGGGCAAATACCCGTGGGGGCGGGGAGGGGCGCGAGAGGAGCGGGCCCGTTGGAGAGGGGCTTCTTCAAGCTGGCTGCAGTGTGGACTGGACCAGCACGCTCTTGGGACCTCCGGACCGAGGTAAGGAGAAGGGAGATGGTGTACTGGTCGGTCGGTGGTCGGTAGGCTCACTGGTCGGCTGAGCAGAACTTTTTTCCCAGTTGCCCAGCGCCGCAATCGCTGCAGGTGCGGCCTGTGGAGCCCCCTCTGGCGAGGCGGGCGGGCCGACGCTCGGAGGGTTTGTGCGTGCGTCCGTCGGTCGCTATGGGTCGACAATGACTTGGAGACAGCGACTGCTTCGTCTGGCTACGTTTTCTCCGGGCGTGCTGAGGAAGAGTGTGTGTGCGCACCCGCGCCTGCCCGCACGTCGATTCCAGGGTTGCAAAGAACAAATATGGCAACTTCCCCCCCAAGTTCTTGGAATGTTTGCAACATCCCACCTTGGCTGTGTTTTTCCCCACAGGGGGATTACTGCTGGTGAGGGAGATGGTCAGAACGTTCCTTTGCCCACACCGTTCTCCAACACTGATGTTGCGGGTGGGGGGGGAGGGCAGGGAGGGCATGGCTGGAAAGGCCATTGGAAGGGTGACGCTGCCCTGGGCAGCAGGAGGGCAACCCCTCAAAGTTTGAATGGATAGGATGGCAGAAGGGGCCTAGAGGGGGAGAGGGAGGAGGGAAGGAAGGTGAACGAAGGAAAGAGATTTATTTCTCTCCCTCTTCCACCCTGGTCTCCCTTCTCCCTCTCCTTCCGCCTGCAGATGTTGGAGTCTCCCGTCGCTGTACGAGGCGGTCTGTGAGGGGCTTGCGCCTTGTTGTCCCCCCCAACATTCTGCAGAATGGGTAGGGAGTGGGGGGAGGGCTGCAGCAATGAAAGGGCACCTGAGGCGAGTTGGGCTATTAGACACCCAATATCTAGACAGGTTTGGAGGAAGGTGTGGAGGGAGGAGCCTCACCCTTCCTATGTGAGCATTCAGAACTTTGGGGGGGGGGGATTGAGATATTCACATATTTCTAGAAATAGGGTGACTAGCATGGACTTTGGGTTTATTTTATGTTCATCTTTGCCTGTCATTTTCTGTCTGAATCTTCTGGCTTGGGTCTCGTTGGGAGAGGTCGCTCTCTTGAACCCCGCTTGCCCAATGTCTTGCACCCCTCTCCTCGCCTGGGCTGGAATAGGGGTCCTGGCCAGCTTTTTTTTTTTTTTT